AGATGATTTTCTGAAACTAATTATCAAAAGACAACATTAACAAGTGCCAGTCATTCAAATCATCTGGCAGACATCATTTCGCTGAAATTTATGATTCACTGATCAATATAAAATTTATGATTTAAAAAAAATAGTTATCAACTCAAAAATTCTTTTTATTTTTTAAATTATATCTATTGTGTTAAAAAGAAGAATATATGTAAGGGAGATTGGTCTAAAGGTAGGGCACGCGCTCTGGGAGTGTGATGATCTAGGTTCGAATCCTAGGTCTCCCATTTTTTGATTTTATTTTTTGATTTTATTTTTATTTTTATTTTAACTTGAATTCTTTATTGATTCTTTTAAAGAATGATTTTTTATAAAAATTTAACGCATAAATCACATACTCTTAACAACCAATAATTGTATTTAATAGTTCATACCAGATTTCACTTATTTTATTATTATTAATATTTAAAAAAACTCAAAAAATCTATTTAGGTTTTTTATATTTTTCAATTATTGTTATTGTCATTATCATTATTATGTTAAAAAGAAGAATATATGTAAGGGAGATTGGTCTAAAGGTAGGGCACGCGCTCTGGGAGTGTGATGATCTAGGTTCGAATCCTAGGTCTCCCATTTTTTGCTTTTGTTTTTGTTTTTATTTGACCGAAGGTCTAAAATCACAGTAATTACATACGACGATATTTTTCATAAACTTCTTTAAATTCATTAACGTTTTATTAATATAAAGTTACTCATCATTTCATTTATGTTAATTTAACTGTTTAGCAAAGTTTTTCATAAAATTAGAGAAATAATGACTTTAATGATTTCAGGAGTTCAAATAATCAATGTCTTCACCGATGTTATAATTTATGATTTCTGGATGTCAAAATCATTAATGATTCATCAGTTGTTTCATTGACGTACCGTAACTCCAATTATATAACTAACTGTTAATAATTATTAAAATTTAAGTTTTATAATCAGAAATGGTTATAAGAATTGAATAAATTCTATATATTATGTTTTTCGATGCATTTCCTCACGAACGGAGCACAAACAGTTAACTTCCAGGTGATTGGGCAATAATAAAACTAACAACAACTAATATGAGTCCAGAATTACTATTATTAATCCAAGTAATTTGTTTAAACAAATTACTTGATAATTATTAATACTTTAATAGAAATTTTTACCATTTAAAAAACATTAATAATATTAAATAATAAATATATGTCATTCAAATGATTTTTCATAAATGATATTCTTATTAAAATATTTTTTCAAAACATTGAATCACAAAAATAGGGCATTTTGAAGAAATTTCACAAAGAGTTATCTTTCTTGATGCGAAGCTAAAAAAATAGCTTTAAACCAAATCATTTATTGCAATTTTTAAAAGTAAGAGCAAAAGATCAATTTAAATCTATACCAACTTTTTTTATTATCGACTTTTTGAAAAAAAATCAGAAAAAGTTCTAAATTTTTTATGTTGTATCTAGGATCTATAGTTCATACCCAATTTTATTATAATTATTAATATTGAAGAAAATAAAAGTAGCATTTTTTTTTTTTTTTTTTTTGAAAAAAAATCTTCAAAAAGTTGCAGCCATTACTATGGTAATTGAAAAGAATTCCAGTTTCTGCTAAATCTAAATACATTATTTTTGCTCTCTTAACTCTCTATATCTCTGTTTTTCTTGATATTTATAAAGTAACTTTTTGAAAAAATATTAATCGTTTAAAAAACAAGACAATCAAAAAGTTGCGTGGCACAAAAAAATAAAAACATAAATATCCTATAAAATCTTTTTATATATCATTATTTATTTAGAATTTTATATATAAATATTATATAAATAAATATAAATACAAAAATATCAGTATAAATATTTTATTGCAGAGTAATTATATAAATTTTCATCAGTTTAAAAGATTATATATAAAATAGGAAGATACACTGAAATTAGGAATATATCCTTATTTAAAATTAATAAATATAAAACGAAATAAAATAAAATAATAATAATAATTTTATTATTGTTTATAACCCAGTAAAAATTGATATAAGCAAAATTATTTCAATCTTGTCATGTTATTGAATTCATATCACAATTATATATGAATTCGCCATCACACTACCGAAAAACTAAAGAAAGACAATCTTCCTCAGTTGATACCAAGCGTAATTTAGAGATGATGAAACCTTTCTTTGATTTCATCCAAAAAATAGGTGGTCCTAACGTTATTGAAAATTTTATTGAAGATCTTAAGAACAATGCTTTATATGACAAAAAGTTAAAAAATAGACCTAATGCGCATATCACAAAAAAAGATCTGAAAACAATGTTACCTTTCTTGTTTGATAAATTAGAACCAAATTCCAAAAAATCAAGACGTTCTCTAGATAGAATAGGAGAACCATATAAGAACATCATTTTGACATATTTTGCCTATAAATATCCAAAAGATCTTTTAGATAGCATTGACACATTTCCTTTTATTTACAAATTAAAAGATTTTTCGCATGTTAAAGAACAATGGAAACAAAGAATTAGTCGCATTCAATGTATTTCATCACGAAATAAGAAAACTGTTAATTCAACAACTGATAATTCTCCATTCCTTCAAGAAAACCAAACAAAAATACTTGAAAATTATACTGATGATATAATAATCTCAGATGGAACAGGTCCGGAAGATGATTTTAATTCTATTTACATTTTTGAAGATGATGATTTTAGCTCAAATTGCATTTTTGAAAGTGATTATGATGATTCCTTTCAATTTACAATGGATGCCTCCAATGATGTTGTAAAAAACTGTTTTTGGCAGGCGATAAGTCCATTGTGAATTCAATAATCATAATCATTTAAAATTTGAACAATGAGAATAATAAAAATTTTTTCTCGATATATTTTAATTTATTTATTTATTTTAAGGTGGCACTGGGTGGGTCAAAAATAGAAAAATGGGTCAAATATCCTCTCAATTTTTTCAATTATTACCGATTAAAAAAGGTCAAATAATTTTATTTTTTTTTTTTTTTTTTTGGCGAAAAATGTTGTCGAGCGGGGTGGGAAGAGGTGAGAGAGATAATAAATAAATATTATAAAATATTGATCGTTGATGTCTTTTTTTACCTAAAATAAAACAGGTATTTTTATTGGGTTAATCAAATTCATTATTTCATATATTTTGAATTTTCCCTAATTATTTTGTTTAATTCATTTTGCTTGTATTTTTTTCTCATCTTATTGATATTTAAAATTTTGAAGAATTTCAGTTAAAAGCAGAAAATAATAAAATTATGATAGTACGAATGCAGTATTTAGCTCTTGAATGCGTTTAACAAAGTTTTAAATTAATATAAATAATATTTTAAATAGTATAAAAAAAAATAAGGCATAGTGTTGAGTCGAACAAGCGGTATCTTATTACAATTGTTCCACATAGAAAATTTATGTCAAATTTTCCTAAACCATAAAAAGAGAAAATTTCAAATAAAATGCCAATTCATCGTATAATTCCTATCTCATTTTAACAAAATCATATGACTTTACCTCAAAAAAAGTTTTGAAATGAAAATTGTTGCAAAAATAATGATCAATATATGAAAAAAAATGATAATATTTATCAGATGATTGAATATTTTAATGTTTAAAAAAAAGTTGTATTTAAAATTTTGTTTATGTCATATAATAATAATTTTAGAAATACATTTCATATTTAGCGATGAAAAGCTAAATAATAATATGATAATAAAGATATCTTTAATTATTACTATTTTAATTCTTAAATAACCTTTTAACTTTATAGTATAGCATCCTGTTAATAACAAGAATTCTTTTTTGTCACTAAGAGCAACCGTTAATTTTTTTTTTTTTTTTCAAAAATCGTAATCGTAATATCTTGTGGCGGTTTAGGTCAATATTGACCTTGTATCGTACCATAAAAAAAAAAGTCTGGAACTTTTTTGAACTTTTGCAAAAAAAAGCATGGATACTTTATTTGTTAATCATTGTAAATAGAAAAAACATGATTTAGTCAAACAATTTTTGATCAAATAATTAAGAAAATATTTCAAAATACATTACTTATTGAACTAAAATTCTGTCTATGTACATTTTGCTAAATATATATATATATATATATATATATATATATATAATATATTTCTTATATCATATTTGTTGAAGAGATTACAAATAAAATTAAATCATTTTATTAAAGCAATTGATTTACCATCATAAAAAATTCAAAAGAAAAATTAATGTAGTAAATGCTAAGCGTGATTTTTCGATGATTGTCCATGTCATTCAAAAAAAAATTACTATAAATGTACTATAAAGAAAATTGAGAGGATTCAATTATTTCTGAATAAGTAAAAGAATTCAATTGAAAATTAAAAAAAAAAAAAAAATATAGATCACTTCACTTTTATTTTAGTTGAAACAAATGTCTATTAAAACAGTTGCTGAAGGCTCAAATTACACAGCAATCAACATCGGCAAGCTCTGCGACCTAAGCAAACATGAACTCTAAGGACCAGATGGAAAAGTGATGTGTACAGGCAAAGTTTTCCTCAGCCAATCTGCAAAAATGACAGGATCCGAAATATCATACACAGCGATCCAGCCTGGTGGAACAACGCCATTCTTCCATCTGCATCACAAGCATGAAGAAGTATACTTGATCATTTCAGGATCAGGCGAATATCAAATTGAAGACAAAGTTTTCCCGATTGAGGAAGGATCGGTTGTTCGTGTTGGAACAGAAGCAAGCCGAGGATTAAAGAATACAGGAAAAGTTCCACTTGTTTACCTTTGCGTCCAAACGACAGAAAATTCATACAAAGGAGATATTTCTAATGAATATGAAATAACAAAAACGGAACCAAAGTTCCATTAAATAAAATATGACAAGATCAAATTATTTTTTTTTTTTTATTTAAAATTGAAAGAATACTTTTGTAATATTTTATTAATTTTAAAGACAAATAATATATAGAACTGCCTTTAGTATAATTGGTAAGAACATGTGACTGTAAAAATGTTTATGGTAATCACAAAGATGCTGGTTCGAGTCCGGCGGGGCAGATTTTTTTGATTTTTTTTTAAAATATACAAATAAAAAATTGAAAAAAACTATTTAAACATTCCTGTTAAAATTATTATTCCACAAAAAAATAAAAAAAAAAAAAAAAAAAAAAGTAATCTCCCGTGGCGGTTTAGGTCAAATTGAACTAAAGAAAACATCAACAATGAAATAAAAAAGATAATATCAACAATGAGTAAAATAAAAAAACAAGAATCATTATAAAAAATATCAATTAAATAATCTTTAATGAGACCTTATCAATAGAATTTGTAGTTATTGGCCTTCACTGGCACTTTTTAGTCAATATCTGAGCTCCACTCTCCCTGTATTCCTCGCTCTTTATAGCGAGCTCTGCGAAATCAGGAAGAGAAGCGAAAGCAGCAGCACCCATCCAAGCAGCATAATTTCTATTTGCAGGTGCCACAAGGTTAATTTTAGTTGATTTATTGACCATTCCTTTCAATTCCGATTCAAATCTTTCAGGGAGCCCCTTAAAAAGTGACGAACCGCCACACAACACAATGTTATCAAAAAGTTGGTTCTGAACGTTACTCTCACATTTCATAACCGTTTCATACACCAATTTTTGAAGGCTTAAATGGTCGAGATTATTAATTTGAGGGCTGAAGAGAAGTTCAGGGCAATTGTATCGTTCATCAGAAATTTTGAATTCATCACCATCTTGTGTTTGATAGGATGTATCACATTCATGTGAACCGTTATTTTTTTTGACCTCATTTTCGAAGTCCAAAGCGACGTATCCAAGTTTTTCTTTAACTTCATTTGCGACCAAATTAGCACTCAATTCTGACAAAGCACATCCTCTTTCTTTCAATGCTTTCAAAAAGTAGTCCGTGATCGTTTTACCGCCAAAATTTTGAGTGGTCATAGCAGAGCTGACAATGCTGCCTTCAACTACTGGAACAATTTGTGTCATTTCATAACCGATATCAACCGAAATTCCAGTTTTTTGACCACTCGAATAAATTGAGAAAATCGGCTGTTTTCCAAGATAAAAAGAAGGAACTTGGAATGTTTCAAAAATGACTTGAAGTAACTTTTCTCGTTGCCTTTGATCTGATCTTGATGATTCTGTAAGGATGAGCGGATGCTCGGCGTAATTGACGCGAAGTTCGTCTTCAAAAGTGTATCGTAAAAGTGTCGTAAAATCGTTCCAATTTGCAATAAAACCATATTTAATTGGATATTGAATATTTAAAAGACCGATTTTGGACATGGCTTGATTGCCTGCATAAGTGTCTTGGTCCTTACGACCAATGAATGATCCTTTATGTCTAAGATTACCAACTATGGATGGAAATTCTGATCGTGGCTTTTTATCGGTGGAGAATCCTGCTTTACAATAACCTGAACCAATATCAACTACAATTGTTTCGGCAGTATCCATTTTTTATAAAATAAAAAGGCGAAAATTTCAATAAAGTGGCCAATTTGTTTTCGTAATGAAAATAAAATTAACAGCAATTAAAAGTAAATTTAATTAATAATATGATAGATAAGATTATTATAAAAATAAAAAATATTTTTTTATTCATTGTTTTAAATCAAATAATAAAAATAAATAAATGTTTATTAATGTTTAAATAAACTTCATAAAAAGTTATATCTTATACAAATAAAAACTGCTTATTTCCAACTCTTTACTAATAAATTTTTAAAATTTTGAGTATATTTTATTATAATCAATCATGGAATAATATATAAACAGAAAATGAAATAATATTTCATTTAATCTATATTCAAAGTTACACAATAATGATGAATAGCTAGAATTAATGCTATAAATATAATATACTTAGTATAATATGCATTTTTATTCTATATATTGTTGACATTTTCTTATAGTTTAGTTTTCTTGTAATTATTAGACGTTCGTTTTGTTAAATGCTGTAAAAATGAAAACAACATGATATATATTCATCATATATTTATGAAAAATCTTAATAAAGATGAAGATATGCTACATGTTATATTAGGCAATGGAATAATTAAGTTGCTAGGTTGAATGAATATCATCGTTTGAATTCTAAGTTGAAATAAAACACTCATTTTTTATTTTAACAAATGATAAATATTTTTTTTAAATTTATATTGCTTTAAAAAAAATTTTTTATTTCTAATTCCTTTTATACAAATTATATATTTACTAAAGTAAACTCATCATATCATGCCAAATTAGTTATGTTTTATTTAAACCTTTTGTAGTTCAGAAAGAATATTACTTATAAGAAATATTTTGTAGATCAGAATCAATATTTTATATATTGTTGTTAAAGGAAAAAGTATTTTATAAAGATTAAGTTAAATAAATTCAAAATCATCAAAATTGATATCAATTTGATCAAAAATAAAAATCTGTTCTTCTTCATTCCATCCATCAAAAAATTCTAGTATCCCTTCTTCATTAATATAAATAAAACCAAATTGATTTTCTCTTGTAGAATTTCTTTTTTGTTGATAACTCTTATCGTTCTCATCGTTCTTATTACTCATAACCGTCCAATTGACATGATCAGGAAGAAATAATGCCAGTTCAATAGGAATTCGTATTACTTTCCTGAATCCATTTATACGAAAATGACTATCAACTGATTCTCTTGTCATATTCAATTTCTTTGCAAGAATTCTAGTATTTTTAATAAGATATTTATCAAATCTAAAAATTCCATTAATGAATATCAATTGAGGACTTTCATCGTTCTCCTCTATTAAATCGTTAATTTTATTCATGAAATCATGAACAAAATCATTTTTTATATAATGAAGTTTGTAATCATTCAAATCAATTTCATTAATGATCTTTCCTGTAGACATCCAAATCAATAATGAAGTGAAACATAACGAAAATTAAATGAAAAACACATTTGAATTAAAGGAAGTAATTTTTTGCCTCAAGTATGAAGTAAAGTCAAGTATATAGTTCCGAATTAAGCATCGATTTTATTCATGACGTCAGGCAGCACGATATATTTTACACATGATCTAGTTTAATTTTTAGTTCATAAAATTAATTTTTTTGAAAATTTTTGCCTCAAGTATTAAAGGAAATAATTCAATGTCATGAATAGATCAAAATTGACTGAAAAAGATACTTGACTTTAATAGATTTAAATATGAATATATGATTTAGTTGTATTAGAACATATTTTTTTATTCCAAAATCAATTTTTTCATGTTATCATTTCCAAATCTTGAATATCATTTTTTTTAAACTAAAATGTTTATCGTGAATTCAAACACTACTTTTATATATATATGGTATATAATTATTATTATCTATTAAAAATCCTATTACAGAAATGGAAATCGAGTTATTTCAATTTTTCGTTTTTTTTTTTTTTTTTAAATAACAAATAGAAGCAGTTTTTATATCCAATTTATTTTGGATATTTATAATGTATAACTAATTCCAACAAAAAGAACGTTTGAATTAAATCGCTATTTTTAAAATGCATAAAATTAGATTATTCATTATTAAGTAATTCATAGAAATAATTAATATCTCTAATAATATATTACACAAAAACTAAATATCAAAATATAAAAATTAACAATTATTTTATGAATTAAGTATTAAAAGAGATAAACATGTTTATTTGGTTCAAATAATTGAGAGGGTAATCTAAATATATTCAATCAATTTTGATCGAAGTATGACATTGAATTAATTGAAAATTGAATACTTATTATCAATAAAAGATATTCATATTTTGCTCTAAAAAAACTTTAAAATTAAAAATTATCATCTTAAAGAAAACTGAGTGATTATATATTTATCAATTTCACTATTTTTATTATCAATATACAAATTTTATGATCAAATATTCAATCTTGAAAAAAACAAATTTAATTAATCTTGTTTTTCATACTGATTTTTTAATAATATCAAAAAATATAACAAACATATTAGATCATTGATTGATAATGGTTTAAAAAATTGATTTAATTGTTATTCTTTTTAATAAAATATCTTTTCTCTCACTCTTATCACATCAATTATGCACTATTTGGAACATATATAATGATTCATGTGAAATTGGATATCTTTAGTTTAATTACTTTAGAAATGTTAAAATGTCTATTTCCATCAAATTAGTAAAATTGTTAAATTCATCATTAAAAATGATATTATCATCAAATATATCATCCATAAATTGTAATAATTCTTTTTCAAATGGTTCTCGTGTTTTGACAACAAATGTCGATTTCATCAGATAAGAAGATAAATCATAATTTCTTTTTGAATTTGTCAAATTTCTTGATGAATCAATAATTATTAATGAAATAAAAGAGTTATGGGGTTTATTTTAAGATTAAATATCGGTGAGGATTTTGACTTTTTTGAACTTTTCGAGAGAATAAGTTTTATATCAAAATATAAACAGAGAAAACTTTTTCAAATAATATTAATTTAAATTGAATACTTGTTTTCAATACTCTTCTGAAATTCATTCATTTTAGAAAACATGGTATTGAAAAATTGAAATGTAAAATTTACGAACATGAGCATTGAATTTTTAGTCTTATTAATATTTTAAAGATTTGAAGTTATTTATCATATAATATCAATATATCATATATATTAAGCATATATATATGAAATATTTTATCAAATTATTAGTTCAAATCTAAAATAAACATAAATACTAATATCAGAAGAAGAATAGAAAAAATTGAAAGCAAATGAAAGAGGATATTCAATTTCTCAGAAAAACCAATGTTTACAACATTCAATTTTATTTGAAAAAGTTTTCTTCTCAACACTTTGTGTCATCTCATACAATTATTTAAAGGTTCTCACAACTTTTCCTCAGAATCAATAATTTTATAACGAGAAAACTATAGACCAAAATTTTGTCTCAAAATGAGTTTCTTCACCTTTTCAAACCGCAACTTTTATCTCAATATTTCAGAACAACCAACAGATGCTCATTTATATGAGAGAACACTTCATTCGTCCATTGGATGTTTAGAAGAAC